CCACCTCCTGGGCAACATCCACACCCACCTGGTGCACTACAAGGTGGACCTGGATGTCGCAGGTGAAGGGCCCTGGCGGCTCCCGACACCCCCTGGCCGTGGGGAGGGTGCTGGGAGAGAGGCTGGACCCACGGGGGGCTCCTGGGGCTGAGGTGCCTTGTTTCTGGAAGGGTGGTATCGTCTGGGCATCACCCGCACCCTCAGGTGATGATTCCCTCCGTGGTGGCATCTCTGCAGGGTCACTTCTGTCCGTGGTGGGGGGATCTCCCAGCCCTGGTGACATCTGGGGCTCCAGCCCTCTATGGCATCTCTGCAGGGTCTCCTAGGCCCCCATGAGTGATGGCATCTGCCTGGGGTCCCAGCCCCTCACGGTGGCATCTCTGTGGAGTCCCAGCCCCCCATGGGTGATATTTCCCAGGCCACATCCACGGTACCATCCCCTGGTGCCTCAGCCCCCTGTGGGGGTGGTGGTGGCATTTCCAAGGTGTCCCCAGCCCACCTCGGTGGCATCTCCAAGGTGTTCCAGCTCTCCGTGGTGGCATCTCCTCAAAGGCCCTCCTCTCCATGCTGGTGTACCAAACTGGGCCCCAGCCCACCATGATGGCTTGATTGTGGGGTCACAGTCTTCCTTGGGGGTGGCATCTCAGCCCTCCACGTTGGCATCTCCATGAGGTCCCAGTCCACATCCATGGTGACGCCCGGCGGTGTCCCACCCTCACACTGGGTGGGGCTGTGCCACCGTGTCCCCTCACCGACGCCCGGTCCCCGCAGGCTCCGGCAACAGCTTCGAGACGATGGACATTCGCTTCGAGAACATCTCCAACCCCTGGAGCGCGGGGGCGCGCGTGGTGCAGCCGTGGCTGCACCGGGAGCCGCGGCGCCGGGAGCGCGAGGCCGCGCTGCCGCTGGACCGGCCCGCGCCGCGCTACCTGCTCTTCTCCAACCCGCGCCGGCGGAACCGCTGGGGCCACCGCCGCACCTTCCGCCTGCAGCTCAGCTCCCACGCCGGGCCCGTGCTGCCCCGCGGCTGGCGCGAGGAGCGCGGTGTCACCTGGGCCAGGTGAGCACCGGGGCCTTCCAGCGTGGGGACGGGGCTGCACGGGGACTCCAGCGTCACCAGGTGTGTCACCCGCGGGGGCACGGCGTCCCTGCCCCGGTCACGCCTTCCTGGGGTGGCACCTCGCCCTGCTGGCACCTCCCTGTCCTGCCCTGGAGCTGGAGTAGGTCCTTGGGAGTGGGGGAACCTCCAGAGCTGGGAACTCCCCTGGAGCTGGGGAAACTCCCCATGGAGTTTGGGACACCCCGGGGCTGAGGGGCTGTTGGAGATGGGGAATTCCTGGAAGCTGAAGAGTCTCTGGGAGCTGTGAAACACCTTGGGAGATGAGGAAGCCTGGAAATGGGGACCCCCTCAAGATCTGGGGACCCTCCAAGGGAAACCCCTCCGGAGGTGGGGAGCCCCTCAGGGGACCTGGGGAATTCCCCTGGACTTGGGGATCCCCTCAGGAGCTCAGGAGCACACAAAGCCGGGGACCCTCAGGCCCCTCACCAGCCCTGTGTCCCCCTGCCGTGACTGGGCCGTGGGTGGCACAGTCGGGGACCAGGGCAGGGTGGGACAGGACCCCCCGCCCCCAGGCTGACCCCACCCTCACCTGAGGCAGGTACCACCTGGCCGTGACACGGCGCCACGAGAACGAGCCGAGCAGCAGCAGCATCTACACCCAGAACAACCCCTGGGACCCCCCGGTCACCTTCGAGAGCTTCATCCGCGACAACGAGACCATCGAGGACCAGGTGACACACGGGGGGACACGGGGCACGCGGGGCTGCTGAGGGGCCGGGGGGTTTCGTCCCCAGAGTGGGGGTCCATGGTGCCGCTGACACCGCGGTGTGTCCCCCCCAGGACCTGGTGGCCTGGGTGACCGTGGGCTTCCTGCACGTGCCCCACGCCGAGGACATCCCCAACACGGCCACCCCCGGCAACGCCGTCGGCTTCTTCCTGCGCCCCTTCAACTTCTTCAACGAGGACCCGTCGGTGGCGTCGCGCGCCCCGGTGATCGTGCGGCCCCTGGACCCCCCGGCCTGCTCCCGCCTGCAGATCCAGCGCTGGACCCCGGCCAGCCCCGGGCCCTGCGTGGACCCCGAGCCCTTCAGCTACAACGGCACCTACCGCCAGGTGTGACCGGGGACACGGGGACGCGGGGACAGCAGCCGGTGTCACCTCCCTGACGCCGGCACCATGGGGACGCCGGTGGCACGGGACACGTCACACCGTGTCACACGCTGCCACGTGCCGGGCCCAGCCCAGGTGGTGTCCCCTCCCCTGACCCCGGCACCGTGCGGGACCCCGGTGACACTGCGGTGTGGGATGTGTCACCCTGTGCCACCTGCCAGGCTCAGTAAAGGCCATGCCAACCCTTCGTCACCATGTGGGTCACTGGTGCCACCAGGACGCTGGCTATGGGACACCACACGGCGTCGCACAGTGTCACACGGTGCCACGCGCCAGTAAAGGCGATGTCACCCCCGCTGCTGGCACTGGCACCACGAGGACACTGGTGCCACCAGGACACCGTGGCATGGCTCACGTCACGCTGTGACACACGGTGCCACCCGTCGGGCTCGGTAAAGGTGGTGCCACCCCTTCTGCCACCACGCGGGACCCCAGTGTCACAGGGACATGTCACATGATGCCGCTCACTAAAGGCGATGCCACCTCCTCTGTCCCTGTGTCTCTGCCGATGCTGTGGCCACCAGGATGCCCCAGCCAGGCCCCAGTGTCACGAGGTGTCACCGCGGTGACACCTGAGGTCGTTGTCCCCCCCCCGCGGCTCCCAGGTGGTGACACACAGAGCCGGGGTCTCTGTCTGGTTTATTGGGGGCACCTACGCGGGGGTGACATGCAGGGCGACATGGGACAAACACAGCACGCGCTACGGGGCGGCCGGGCAGGGCGGCCCTGCGTCCCCTCCCTGTGCGGGGGGTGACACTGCCGCGTGTCACCCGGCTGTGCGGGGGGCTCGGGGACGCGCGGCCCGGCCGGACGGGGAGGGGCACACGGAGGGTCCCGACCCTCCCTCAGCCGGGGGTCCCGGGGGACAACGGGGGGCACACACGGACCCACCGGGCCCCACACGCCACTGGGGGGTCCTGGCGGGGGGGACACGGCGGGGACACACACACACACACACACACACACACAGACGGGGGGGCAACACGCGTGTCCCAGCGCAGCGGGACCCCCCGACACACACGTGACGTCCTGGGGACAGGACCGGGGACACACCTGTGCACACCTGTGCACACACACACCTGTGCACCCCCCGCCGCCCCGGGGCTCGGGCAGGAGGAGGAGGAGGAGGAGGAGGAGGAGGAAGAGCAGCACAGTCTGACAGTCCGGGGCAGGGGGCCCCAGGATGAGGTGGGATACGGGGGTCCCGGCGGCCCCGAGCCCCCCGCTGGCACCGAGGGCAGTGTCCATGGGGCAGCCGGGGCCCGGGCAGGGCTCTGGGGACCCCAGGGCTGGGGGCTCTGCGTCCCCACCTTGCGGGGTCAGGGGTCCCAGGGCTCTGGGTGTCCCACGGCCTGGGCTTTGGGGGTCCCACATGCTGGGGACAGGGGTCCTGCGGCTCCGGGGGTCCCACGTGCCGGGCTCCGGGGGTCCCGGGGGTCCCAGGTGCCAGGGTGCGGGACTCTGGGGGTCCCACATTCGGGGGCCGGGGGTCCCAGGGCTCCAGGGCTCCCAGGGTCGGAGCCGGGGATCCTGTGACTCCGGGGGTCCCGGCTGGTGCGTCCAGGGCTGCGGGCCGAGGGGTCCGGGGCTCCCACACTCCGGGGTCAGGGGTCCCGCGTCCTGGGCTTTTGGGGGTCCCGCGTCTCGGGGTCTGAGGCCTCCAGGGTCCCACGTCCTGGGGTCCGAGGGCTGCGGGGGTCCCGCTTTCCGGGGTCGGGGGTCCCGTGGCTCCGGGGGTCCCGCCGCGCCCCGGCGCTCCCATTAGCTGCCGGGGTCGGAGCAGTGTCTCTGGAGCGGGGGGGTCCCCGGGGGGGTCCCCGCGGGGGGGGGCAGCGCCCCGGGCAGGGAGCGGCGCCGCGG